TATGCCCAAGATTCCTATCCGAGTGCCGGCGGTGGGGTGGTTCAAATAGCCTCGGCTATCACCTCATTATGTCCGGTCGTGATGGTCAAGTGGATTAAGGCGTCTTGTACATACCAGTTGCGTTGCTTCTGGGAGTATGGGTTCGAGTCACTTCTGGGGTGTGAGTTTTCAGTTCCGATTTGCCTAATAAGCCAAGTTTTCATGAATTAATTGTTTTTCGACGACCTAACCTACCTAACCTAACCTACCTAACTTTTTCGGCTACCTAACCTAACCTAACCTATAAAGATAGGTTAGGTTAGGTTAGGTAGGGTTGGTTAGGTTCGGAGATATATCTACGTTAATTTTAACTCCAATAAAAAAAAATTGACCTCATACATAATGAAATGGGTAGCTTTATCATTTCATAAGGAAAAAATTAGAGAAAATATATTAATTCAGGAAAACTTGGCTTATTAGGCAAATCGGGCCTTGCATAGTAGGCCGAGAAGTGCATTCTGGCTACTAGGTACGACATATATATATATATATATATATATATATATATATATATATATATATATATATATATATATATATATATATATATATATATATATATTTATATATATATATAACCCCTGCTCGGTGAGATAGAACGTTGTGTGAAAACTTCAAAACAATCGGTAAAGAACTTTCGGAGATTAAAAATTTCGAACAAACGAACATTTCCATTTTTATTTATATAGATAAGCCACCATCTATAGTGGTTTCGAAGGAGACAGGAAAGTCGGAACAGTGAACAGCGGCATTAGGTAAAATAAAAGGTTCTAAAATTATATAGTATGCAAATAAATTTATCCAAGGACCATTATGCTGTGGTCCAACTGCGCTATTCAGTATTCAGGGAGAGAAAATATTACATATGCATCTGAACAGTTGCTGACTATGCATGAGGCAAGATACCTTCTGCAGTTTCTTAAATTCGCAGATCTGTGTTTTCTGAGGAACTGTTGTTGGCCACTTTAGAGGGCACTCGGGTGCTTGTTTATATATTACCTCAACGCTTCCTCCCGCCCCACCCACCTCCACAGAACCCCACGTAGATTTGAAGAGTCGAATGTACAGAGCTGAGGCTACATTCACCACGCTCCACGACTAGCCAGCCCTCAACGACTCACGGTGCAATTTATGTACAATGTTTAATCAAATTCTGGCTTATGCACAGGTCGCTCTGAGCTTACAATTGTGACAAAAAGACAGCATGAACGCACAAACTATATATCTCTTAAAAACTCTTTTGACCCAACCAGAATTCGAACCCCCAACCATTAATTACAAAATTAGTTAATAAGCTCCAGGGCTCACCAATCTTTAGAGATGATTACTGGTGATGTGGTTAAATTACCCAGTATGCCTGGGGTTGATCCTGGTCGGGTCAAAAGAGTTCTTAGTGATTAATGGCTTGTACGTTTGCTGCCATTGTGTCTGTATATTATATACATGGAGCCTTATTTCGATGATTACTGAAATGAAGAAAGTGTATACTGAAGATGGTGTCAGTGATGAAGGGGAAAATGGTGGTGTTCCAGTCCATAATATACATGTAATATACACTATATGGTGCCTTTTGATAATTACTTAACTGAAGACAGTACACATTGAAAATTGTTTCAGTGATAACGTGGAAAATGGTGATGTCTTCCAATGCTCATTATGTGATTCCTTATTTTGATAATTACTTAAATGCAGATAGTGTATTTTGAAAATAGTCTCGGTGATGAAAGGGAAAATAGTAAAAATTATGTAGGTGGGGAGAGGAAAGGCAGTGAAAGAGAGAGAAGCTGAAGGAGAGGGAAGGCTGTGAAGGAGAGGGATGACAGTGAAAAAGAGGAAATGTAGTGATGTTGATTATTGTACATTTATTAGTAATATATAATAAAGATAATTAAACAGATTATTGCAGTGCTTTTGATTTCATTGTAACTCTTTTGCAAAAAAATATACTCGTGCATCTATAAATTGAAATCATACATCATAAATCACCATAGCTAATACACAGAGAGTAATCACACTAATTTTATGTTTTTATGTTATAACTTTTTATGTTTCATTGATAATATAAGAAAAATAATATGCTAAGAAATTCTTATATTCTGAATGTTTTATTTTATAATACAACATTGTCAAGTACTCTCAATCACCCTAAATTCAATTCAAAGTAACATTGGCATAAATGGTAATGAAAAGGCAGACTCACTAACAAAAACTGAGAGTTTTCTACCTATTGTACAGGTCAAAATACCTCCAAGTTTTTCACAGATTAAGGAGCAAATCAAAAGGAAAATACTCCATTCTATCAAAAGTCGCCACAGAGCCAAAGTAGCAGAATAAAAATCCACTGCGATGTGGTACGATCAAGCAAATGGATACTCCTTTTTAAAGCTCAAATTATATGTTACCTTCATAAAATTATATGTTAGATTAAGGATATGCCCGAAACGCTATGCGTGCTAGTGGCTTTACTAGAATGTAGAATGTCAAATCTCTGTACTCTCATAAACCCAATGTACCTTCTTGTATATAAATAATAAATATATAAATAAGTAAATAAAATCCTGGCATAAAGATATCTAGAGACATTACAGTAGCCATACACAGACTCAGACTTTACTACCTCTCATCAAGTGCTGATGAGAGGTAGTAAACCTAATAATTAAAGTGTCATATCTGTGGAACAGATGAAGAGGCACAAATATTGTATTACTTACTGGAAAATGAAGCAACTGATGCCCTGCACATCAAACCCAACATTTATCTAACGAGAGCAGAGTTATTAGATGCAAAATCCACAGCGACTGATTTGATTAGAGAAGCAATTGAAGAATGGGACACACTAGTGAACACTGTGCATCTATATCCGCCACCAAGATAATGTTATTAAAACAAGACTAAAACCAGTGCGCTAAAACAGAAGAGGAAAAGAAACGGGAAAAGAAAGAAAGAAAACCCCACTTCCATTTAAAACTTTCACCCATATATAACAGTGACAAGGTTATCGCGAATAACCGAACTCAATTACGTGCTCACTATAACCCGTGTTACGTGGACATTTCGTTGTGAGCAACAAAATCTAAAACAACAATAACAACCGGCCTCCCGATGTGTGAGGGACGATAATCGTTACAGGCTCCCGTAACACTGATCGTTAGAAGCTCACTATAGCCTGTGCTACAAGGACATGTCGTTCTGAGCAGCTAAATCTAAAACAACAACCTTGCTGCTACTAACGACACACTGCCACTTTTCTGGTCAAAAAAGGTGTCCAACAGCTGGACATCCTTATAAATACTGTCAAGCAGTATTCTTCCCCAATAATAGCAGCAACATATTAAGGACTGATGATTTAAAAGCGAACTCAGCAAGCAGTATATCCTTTCACTACTAAAGGTCACATTCACTCAAAAATATCTACCACAAACAGGGTATTCATGCCCGTGCCACTTCTTGGGTGGCTTAATCTTCATCAATCTCGCTCATATCAAAATCGACTTTTTTTTTTATTTTTTTTTATTTTTACATGCAAAGCATGCAATTTAAATACAATAAAAACAACACAGAATACAGAACAGAACAAAATAAAACAATAGACCACCGGCCAGAAGGGCCGACAGCATAGCACAACAAAACACAAACATGATAAATGCATAGAAAAATACAGCATACATCAAGGCACAAAACATAATACAATGGCAAACTAGCAATCACAGTAACATCACAAAACAAAACCTGCATAAAACAAAACATACATCAAGAGGCATAACAGGAAACATAACAGGACAATCACAATACATTCCAAACAAAACATAAAGAACAAACACGTACAACAGGTAAAGCAATATGAAAACACCAGGTCAAACGTACAGCACAGAAACAATACAGGAATAAAAACACTCACACCAAACCGTCCGCCCCATAACAAAGGGCGAGGCAAAAAGGAACAATAATAATAAACAAGCAAACCATGCAAACAAGAAAACAAAACAGGTACAAACACAACAACATACATGCACTGGCCTGAAGGACCGAGAAGAAAACACAACATAAAGTACATCAAGAAACATGCTGGAACTTAAGTTTCTTTTTTTTTTTTTTACTTTCATGTTTCCATGCAAAGCATGCAACTGAAATACAATATAAACACAGAAAACATAACAGAACAAAATAAAACAAGAGACCACTGGCCAGAAAGGCCGACAGCAGAGTACAACAAAACACAAACATGATAAACTCATAGAAAAATACAACACACATCAAGACACAAAACATTATACAATGGCAAACAAGCAAGCACAGTAACAACACAAAACAAAAAACACTGCATAAAACCAAATATACCTATACTATCCGCCCCGCAACCAAAGGGCGAGGCCAAAATAAACTATAATAAGAATCAAACAAACCAAACACAACATCATACATGCACTGGCCTGAAGGACCGAGAATAAAACACAAAACAAGACAATACGCACAGCACACAACAAGCCATGAATAACAACAAAAACAACAACTACGGTAAGTGTACATGCAGACCCGTGAGCCTGTCCGGTGGGAACCGCATATTGAACGCCTCCCAAAGCAGCCACGTCGTCCAGAAGGCTCGACCCAACATCGGGGGCGCCATGCGGACCGGAACCCCGGCAACAAACACCCGCAGACATGGAACCCACACAGTGTCCCTCCGGACTCGAGTAACCGCCACCCTATCCCATAAATTCGGAACCCGTCCATCAGAAAAATCCTCCGGCCGGGCAAGCAGCAGGAACTTGGCAACCCGGGCCTCCAGGTCCGCAAAGGAAAACACCGCAGGAGGGGGCCCGACAGAGGGCATCACCACAGGGGTATCAGCGGCCACGGGCACACCACCAGATGACTGCAGGGAATCATGGCGGGGCGGATCCTTACGTAAAGTCACCACCAGGCCACGCCCAGCACCAGCATCCGCACCATCCCTGGCAGCAGAAGCCACCACACCCCATAGCGGAGAGCCCCCGGACGGGGAAGAAACAGGAGACACACCCGAGACACGGACATCAGCACCAGCAGGCACATGAATCTCCGCCACCACCACCCGCAGAGACAACGACTCAGCCGGATCCACGCCGTCAACAATAGAAGACCCACAGTCACCAAAGTCCCCAACATCAGCCCAGGCCGTAGACGAACGCCTGGAACGTTTGGGATCCGGCCGGATATCGTCAGAGCCGGAAGCGGACCCAGAAACACGGGCACCACCAGCCGGACGAACCAACGCCCGACGCAGAACGGCAGCAGCCTCTATCACAGGGAAAACCAGACCACACACAGCAGGAGGCACCGCAGCCACCCCATCACCCAGCACAGACGGCGAGGGTGCAGGGACCAGGACAGACGCAGCAGAGGAAGAACCGGAAGACGAGGGGCCCGAGCAGCTGTCAGACGGAAGAGGCTCAGGAACGGCAGAAGGAAGAGGCTCAGGAACACCAGCCGGAACAGGCGGAGCACCAGGTGAGGACACAACCACCGGAGGAGAGGTGACAACAACAGGGGGCGCAACAGGCAGAGCAACAGCTGAAACAGAGGGCACCTCCTCAGCCGAAGAGATGTCCACATCCACCGAATCATCCCCCACAGGAAGTGGCGGAAAATCCTCCTCACTGAAGAGATTCACTGGTGCCACGGCAGGCGCAGAACAAACAGCAGCCTGATGGCCCAAAAGACCACAACGATAACACGTCCGCGGCTGGGGGGCGTAAAACACCTGAACGTTGTACCCCATAAGGCGCACAGAGGATGGAATATCCGCCCGGAGTCTCATGCCCAGGGTGCGAATGTTAGACCTCACACCCTTAAGAGGACTAGAAGACACCACGTTCACCCTCACACTAACTACCGCGCCAAACCGGCTGAAATACCGCCGTAGCAGAGCCTCTGGAAACTCCAAGGGAGCCCCATGCACACTGATGTAAGTAAGTGCACCACTTCTATCCGAGAGGGTTACAGTGCCCGCACCATCCGGCAGGGGTAGTGTCCGCCCCTCGTATCGCCGGAGAAAATCGCGATACGCCACCTCCTGTGTGAACTTCACAATCGCCCTATGGGCCGTTACCAACTCGACCCCATAAATCTCAAACACAGGGACAGAGAGCATTTCACAAGCCAGCGCAATCTCTGGGTAACCAGCCCGCACAGAGAACTCTAGTCCCACAGACTGAGCCCGGACGACTGGGGGTAGAGGGACCCCCATCGTAACCACAAAATCGACTTGATAATGATCGAGGATGGACCGTAACGTCGTCGTCTCCTCATCTTCTGGTGTGTGGTTGGGTAATCACTATACAACTATTTTGTAATCATTTACACGATACAAGTAAGCAGTTATCCCTTTAATATACAGTATTGTAATTAAGAAATTTATTCTTCACTAATATTGTCAAAGATTTCTATACATTATATGAGAAAACATATAATACACTATGTAGTATAAGGAAAAATCTTACCAGATGGTCTTTAAATACATATAAAAATCATCGTGTAAGATATTTCATGATGATCATCAAATATGTTACATGATGGTACATACTCATACTCCATATTGCCCAAATTGTCTACAACCGAATTTATTTTAAGTTTAATTTCTTGTATACAAAATATGACTAATGTATATAAATGAAAATGGAAATGTTCGTTTGTTCAAAATACTTAATCTCCGAAAGTTCTTCACCGATTGCTTTGAAATGTTCACACAACGTTCTATTCGCATTCGAGCAGGTTTTCATATACATGCTATATAGCAGCCCGACCTCCAAACAAAGATCCAAAAGTGATTCCATGCATCCGCCAAACCCCCTGTTTATGAATGAAAAGCGATTTACACACGACTCACAACTGCTGAAGTTCGAACATATCCGGAACAAGTGCTTCACTGACGAATTTTGTTCGAATCACAACGCTATAAATGCTTCACCCACGTACTACAAGTACAAATAATCGCCAACAGAACCTAAACACCTAACCTAACCTATCCTATGCCTATATATGCACAATATGCTAATATATTATAATATTAATTTATACTTGAGAAAATTCCCGTTTTGAATGAACAGCATGTTAAAATTTATGAATGCGTCTGTGGGGTCGACCGCTGAATGTAATGGACTTGAGTCGAGGACGGGTTGTTTATAGATGTCACGTCTGTGACGGTAAAAAAAACATGTTTTTTTCTGAAAAACTGTTTTTCATGTTAGGGAAATCTTTGAAACCTCTTTATTAATTTCTTTGAAATTTTGATACAACGTCACATTCGAATAGGCGTGTCTTTTTATATATCTACTATATTCATGCCTCAACTGTGACAGGAAAACACATGATTTTTTTTTTTAAAGCGCCATCTGTTGGATGTAAGAGCAACACATGTTGTAATCTTCGAAAGTTCTTCACCGATTGCTTTGAAATTTTGACACAACGTTGCATTCGAACTGGCGTGTCTTATTATATACCTACTTTATAGATGCCACCCATGTGACAGGTAAATACATGCGTTTTTGAAAAACAGCGCCATCTGTTGCACATAATGGCAACATGCACGCTATACTAAATATGTCACGAATTCCGTTTCAATGTTTCTGATTGCATTGATAAATTTTACTTTCATAGATTCTGATTTATTTTATTTTAATTCAATTATTTGGTCTGACATTATGTTGGAATGGAGCTGTGTTGTTTACCATACTGTTCATTTCATAGGTATAAGTATAGATGCCACACCTGTGACAAGTAAAACTATGCTGTTCTTGAAAAACTTTTTACATATCTACTATATACATGCCTCAACTGTGACAGGAAAAAACATGCGTTTTTTTTTAAAGCGCCATCTGTTGCATGTAAGAGAACACACATGCTATACTAGATATGATACAACTCCATTTCAATGTTTTTTACTGCACTGATAAAATAAATTTTCATAGATTTTGACTTATTTTCATTTTGATTTAACTATTTTGTTTGAATTGCATTGAAATTGAACTGTGTTGTTTACCAGACCGTTCAGTTCATGAGTATAGTTTATTTTTATTTTTTTTTTTCACATTTTCATTTCATTTTTTTACTGTTTTTCTTATATTTCAGTGTTGGGAACATCAGATCACTTGATGTTCCCAATATTTTTAAAGGAACATCAGACCATTTGGGAAGGCATCGGACGAGGGAGTGGGGAATGGTGTGGATGACGAGGGGACGGAAGTGAGAGATGGTGGGGAGGACAAAGGGACAAGAGAGAGGGGTAATGGTGGGGAAGAACAAGGGGACGGTGGAGAGGGGAATGGTTGGGAGACCGAGGAGCTGGGTGAGGGGGGAATGGTGGCGAGGACTGGGGGACAAGGAAGGTTGCTGTGGCTCAGCAACGCTCATGCGTTTCTGAGCCACAGCAACGCATGGCCGGGTACTTCTAGTCTATATAAATATAAATGTAATTGTTAGTTTGTCAAAAATCGCTAATCTCCAAAAGTTCTTCATCGATTGTGTTTAAATTTTGACACATTGTTCTATTTGCATACGAGCGTGTTTTTATATACCTACTATATAGATGCCACACCTGTGACAGGTAAAAACATGTTTTTTTTTTTTTAAACAGTAACATCCATTGCACTTAAGAGCAACACACGTTATAATAATTATGTTACGATTCCATTTCAATGTTTCTGATTGCATTGATAAATTTAATTTTCATAGATTTTTATTTATTTTCATTTAGATTTAAATATTTTGTGTGACATTGCATTGGAATTGAGCTGTTTTTTTTACCATACCGTACATTTTGTGAGTATAAGTATAAGTACCACACCAGTGACAGGTAAAACTATGCTTTTTTTTTAAACAACGCCATCTGTTTCACGTAAGAGCAGCACACACTATACTAAACATGTAAAGATTCCATTTCAATGTTTCCAATTGCATTGACAAATTGAATTTTCATAGATTTTGATTTTTTTTTTCATATTGATTTAAATATTTTGTGTGACATTGTGTTGGAATTAAGCTGTGTTGTTTACCATACCGTTTATTTTGTGAGTATAGTTTTTTTTTTTTTTACTGTTTTTCATTCCGTTTTTTTCTACTTTCTTCTTATTTTTTACTGATGGGAACATCAGATCATTGGACATTCCCCTTTTTCTGATGGAAACATCAGATCATTTGGGTACATATCGGACGAGGGAGTAAGGAATTTTGGGGAGGACGAGGGGACGGGGGAGGTGGTAATGATGGGAAGACGAAGGGACGGGGGAAGCGGTAATGGAGGGGAGGACGAGGGGACGGGGGAGTGGGGGATAGTGGAGAGGACGAGGGGATGTGGAAGTGGCGAATGGTAGGGGAGGATGAGGGGATAGGGGAGTGGAGAATGGTGGGGAGAACAAGGGGGGGATAAGAAAGTGGGGGCTGGTGAGGAGGACGAAGTGACGGGGGAGTGGGGAATATTGGAGGACGAGGGGGACGGGGGATGGTGGGGTGGACGAAGGGACGGGGGAGTGGGGAATGGAGGATGAGGGGGGAATGGTTCGGAGGACGAGGAAACGGGGAAGAGGGAAATGGTGGGGAGGGGGGATAGGGGAGGGTTGCTGTGGTTCAGTAACGCGCATGCGTTGCTGAGCCACAGCAACACGTGGTCGGGTACAACTAGTCTACTTAAATAAAAATATAAATGTTCGTGTGCTCAAAATCGCTAATCTCCAAAAGTTCTCCATCGAATGCTTTGAAATTTGGACACATCGTTCCATTCGCATACGAGCATGTCTTTATATATTTACTATATAGATGTTACGTCTGAGACAGGTAAAAATATGCTTTTTTGAAAAACTTAGTTTTTTTATGTGAGTTTTCATGTGAGGGAAATCTCCGTAACCTCTTTACTGATTGCTTTGAAAATTTAACACAACATTGTATTCAAATATGTTTGTGTTTTTATATGCCTACAATATACATGCCA